AGACCCCGGGGGTGGGGGTCTGGGGAAGGGGCCGAGGCCGGGTTACCGCGCCGCCGGGCCCGCGCTGGACTCCAAGGGTGTCGCGGATCCGAGCAGGTGTCAGGATCGGGGCGAGTTCTCGGGTGGAGGCGGCACCCGCTGGGTTTGCAAATCAAAACTGCCCCCTTTCTCCCCGGCCAAAGTGGACTCCTCACGGTGGTGATGCCTGGGCACCGTAATTCGGTGTGAATTCTTACAGAAAACATTGCAAGTGAAGACTCCGGGTTTAGAGGGGTCGCTAACTTCAGGAGTGAGGCGTAGCACATATGTCTCTGCGAAGAGAACAGTTTTTCTAACGACTGCTTTAGAGCAGAAACAACAGACGAGGACGTACATTGTTGCTTGGAAAACAAGTGTTTCTTGTTTTCAGAACTGGGATGTTTATATATGTTCAGTATTTTACTGCTTGAGTTCTTCCCGCACAAAACAGAACGGGCCAATTCCTCAAAGTTGTTGCTTTCAAAACTGGCTCTCACCGCGGGGGAGTGAGTGGTACTGGTATGATTGCTCATGACCAAGTGGAAACTCGGAGAAAGGTGCCGTGTTTATCCTGGGTTGCCTTGAATTGTTTAGGAATGAGAACTTCATGTGAGTGAAACGCACTTGGCAGCAGCGAAGACGTGGGTGTCATAAGATGAGCACCATCTCTTCGTTTCGTCTTCGGCATCTATGGTCTCCATAAGTTTGGGCATCGCCCGAACGTGAGGGTTTTGCGTTGTGCCCCTTTGCTTCCCTTCCACACTCTCTACCTGGGCGATCTTTGCCAGTCTCTTGGCTTTCTACATTTTAGGGCGGATGTTTCCCTAATTAATGTTTGTAGTGCCAAGCTCGGGACCTATAATCCAGGTGCCTGTGTGGCTTCAGCTGCATGTCTGATGGCCCAGACTTGTCCTGCTCCTCAAACCTGTTCCTCTCCCGGTCCCTCCTCCCCATTGTGGCCCCATCCTTCAAGACCTCAAGCTTGAAACCTCGGGTCCAGCATCAGAGCCTGTTGACTGTGTCCACAGAATCTGTCCGCTGTGTTTCTGACTCTTCTGCTGCTGTCCTTTTTTGTTTTAGTGGCTTCTCACTGGTCTTCCGGCTTGACTCTCGCCACGCCACTCACTGCCCTTCAGTTAAACTTACTGAAGCAGTTTAGTATGTACTTTGTGTAGTGTCCAACGTATTGACGAAGTGGGCGGCAGTGGGCTCGCTATCCATCTCAAGAGCTCAGCGGGTGCTCCCAGGGCTGCACCTCTCTGCACCTCCCACGGTAGCCACCTCTTGAGTTTTGGGTTTCATATGCTAAAGCACATGCTACGCAGTTTGTCTTGTTTCGGTTCTGTACAAAGCTGGGCCTCTGCCGCAACTCACTTTATTCATCCAGCTGGTTTCTAAGAGTCATCTGCGTGTTCGTGTCCATTTATTTCAACTGTTCTAGTGAATTCTGTTATGTGAATACACGATCACAGTTCCGTCTCAGCAACCCTAAAATCCAAGTAGCTCTGCAAACCGGAAGTGTTTTTAATCTATTCGATGGCAAAACCTGACCTGGCAAAGGCTGATTAATGGCCTCTATTCCGCTCAGTACGAACACTCACACATTTCCCAGAAGTCACATTTGGTTATGGGGTGCTGCCCTAGACCTAGAGAGGTTGGCATATAATGTGTTGTAGATTGTACTGTGTATTCTGTGCAATCTAAAAAATTCTGGATTCCAAAGTATATCTGCCCAAGGATTTTAGACCTGTTGAATGAACGTCTGAGCGGGGGCCTCCGTGTTTCTGCCATTTTGAACAGTGTTTCTGTGAGCAGGCTTGTCTGTGTCTGGTGCCCCGTGGTGTGTTTTGGGGGGTATCAGCCTAGCAGGGTGGAATCGCTGGGCCGTGAGGAGTACACGTGCTCAGCTTTACAAGGAGAGCTGAGCACGTGTACTCCTCGTTTGCAGCTCCGTCTATTCTGACAGCCGCGTGAGAGCGTTTTGAGGTCCACGTCTTCGTTAACACTGGTCTCGTCAGACTTTGGTTTTGTCAGTCTGCCGGGTGGACGATGGCGAGCTCCTTTGGAGCACGTGTGCCATCGCATAATTCTTCATCTTATGCCCCTGGTGCTGTCCTCTGCGCTTAGGGGAGAATCTGTCTAAGCGCCTTTCTTACTTGGCAGGGCCTCCTCGGTCTGACCCCGGCCGACCTCTTGACCTCTTGACTTCTTGGTTCTAAGACCCTTGGAAGGTTCATCCCATCTTCTGAACGTCCCAGCTTTCTTCTTGATCCTTAACCTTGCTCTTTTTCAGATTTAAAATAGCTTCTCCTTCTCTCCCTTTTACTTTTTACTACGTCGCTGTGTTTGTGTCTGAAATGAACACGGTCGTTACACAGCTCTTCACCAATTCTTAAAAATTTTTTTTTCCTGTAGAAGTAAATCAGAATGAGTTATGCAGAAAAATCCGATGAAATCACGAAAGATGAGTGGATGGAAAAACTCAATAACTTACACGTCCAGCGAGCAGACATGAATCGTCTCATCATGAACTACCTGGTCACAGGTAATGGCTTACAATGGGATTCTGCTGATTCTCCTTTTGTGTCCACGCACTGGGAACCACACCGCTGAGGTTCCGTGGTGAAGTCACGTGTTCAGACGTCGTGGAAACGCAGCGCTAGCTCGGCTTCATACGTCGCGATGTTAGACACCCTCTTCTAGAAGTGAGGTCATCGTTTCAGGTCCCTGAAACCTGAGGCGAACACCTGTTTCTTGGCTTTTGACAGTTTTGTAGTCAATCGAGATAATTAACGTTCTGAAGTACGTTTAAAGCCCAGGTCATGGGTCTTTTCCGGCCAGGCTGGTAAATTGTACTGGGCTGCTTCTGGAAGGTGCCTAGCTCGGAGGAGGAAAGGGGGAGGGGCAGCACGTAGGGGGGACACCAAAGTGGTCTGTAGCTAACACTCAGTTCCCCTTGACACCAGAAAGGAAACGGGTCACTCTACAGGGTAGGGAAGCCCAGATGTCTCCTTCCCTTTAGCTACCAGTGCCCCCATTATAGGTTCTGTTGAGATTTTTTTCTAAGGTGAGGAGGAAGTATCACCCCGTGTGTGTGTGGGTGTGTGTGGGTGTGTGTGTGGGTGTGGGTGTGGGTGTGGAGAGAAGGTCGGGGAGAGGTACACGCTGCTTTGACGTGGAGAACTGGACTCCCCGGAGTGAACATGGCAGGTCCCTGCAGGCTGCAAGGTGTGGCCAGTGCATGTCACCTCACCTGGACAGACCTGCTGCCACTGGACCTGGAATGGCAGCCTCTTAGAGGGGCCCACAGCAGCATAGCGGGCTTCCATGCGTTCCTGTCGCCTCCGGCTGGCGGGGGAGCGGTTTTGGATGGGGCGGAAAGAGATGGTGTCCTGTGTTTCAAGGGCATACTGGGGAAACCACAGAGGTGTCACTGCGGAACCTCTCGGGTTAGTTACTCGAGGCGAATGGGTCTCCTAGCGCCGGAGGGGCTCTGCATTCACGTCTCGCTGGCTTTCTGAGCACCGAGGATGGTTTTCATTGCAGAGGGCTTTAAGGAAGCCGCGGAGAAGTTTCGCATGGAATCCGGGATCGAGCCGAGTGTGGACCTGGAAACCCTCGACGAGCGAATCAAAATCCGCGAGATGCTGCTGAAAGGCCAGATCCAGGAGGCCATCGCCCTGATCAACAGCCTCCACCCGGAGCTGCTGGACACGAACCGCTATCTATACTTCCACCTGCAGGTGGGTTTGGCCGAGAGGGCCCGGCGTGCGCACGTTCGATGAGTTGGGTGATTTGTGATGACTCGGATATGACGAGGCCAGTCTGTGCGGACGGGATGTTTTCATCTTTGTGGGGAAGGGGTTCGAGTTGGCTGTTCTCTTCTGGGTTTCAGAAGCAGCCTCTTGCTGTTAGTGCGAGTGTAGTCACTCGGAGGCCAGGACAGTGGCCTTTCAGGCGTCCTGTGGGCGCGGAAGCGCAGTGCGGCGCCGGCCGCCCCTGGCCCGGGGCGGGTGTGAGCCTGTCTGCCTTCGCCCCGACCAGCAACAGCACCTGATCGAGCTGATCCGCCAGCGGGAGACAGAGGCGGCGCTGGAGTTCGCGCAGACGCAGCTGGCGGAGCAGGGCGAGGAGAGCAGGGAGTGCCTGACGGAGATGGAGCGCACGCTGGCGCTGCTGGCCTTCGACAACCCCGAGGAGTCGCCCTTCGGAGACCCTGAGCATGATGCAGCGGCAGAAGGTGAGACGGGGCGCCCTCCCGCTCCCCTGGGCGGGCTCCGGAGTGGGGGTTCCGGACAGACACAGTGCCTGGCGAAGCTGCTGCCGAGTGGCAGGCTTCGTTTCTGGACGTGTGGCACTGCGGTGCGACAGCATCAGCTTTTCTCTCGTGTGCCCTCTCTTACGGTGTCGAACTGGGGACAGCTCAGAGCTGTGACTTCTTTAGAACGTTGACCCTGGAACAACGCGGGGTTTAGGTCACCTGTCGTGCGTAGTCGAAAAACCGTGTGTAGCTTTGACTTCCCCAGAAGTGAACTACTGTGTATAGGTTCCTCGGTACCTGCCCCCAAAGGTCCCCGGCCATAGATGCTCAGGTCCCCTTAGAAGCTGGCGGGGCAGTGCGTGCTGCCATGCCCACGGACTCCCGCCTGCTGCTGCAGCCCCCGGGGACCCGGAGCGCTGGCTGCGTGTTGGCTGAGACCCTCTGCAGGCACGGGACCTTTGCAGTTAAGACCCACATTGTCCCAGGTCACCTCTGTGCAGGCCTTTGCCCACCTGTCTCCTTCATCTTAACCTTCCTCCTGCTCGTCTGGAGACTCTTAGGAGTAGGTGGCCCAGTGTTTTTTGCTTAAAATCCCACAGTTGCTTCTGAAACGTCTTCGCTGCTGCTTCCACGTTCCAGCCCACCTGGCGGCTTGTCACCTCCCAGACGCAGCTCCCTGTCCCCATCACCCCCACTGTGCTGGAAGGTGTGCTCTTAAACTTGTGTCACCCCATCCTGCTTTTCTACTCACAGTTCCGCCAGCCTGGCTCGTGGCCCTTACCTGCCCGCCAGGCCACACGTGGCGTCTGCTGCCAGACCACGAGCCCTGGGCAGAGACGTGGGTTCGCACCCTCCAGAGTGCCCGCCTCCCGGGCACGGGCGTCGTGCTAGTTTGGGTGAACGAGCAGCTTCGCCCGTGTGGTTGGGCTCCAGTGTTTCACATGCGCGCCCCCAGACCCGGCACTGTGTGGGTGCTCGTCATCGGCTCCCCTTTCTTCCAGGTGTGGAGCGAAGTGAACCAAGCTGTCCTCGATTACGAAAACCGGGAGTCTACACCCAAGCTGGCAAAATTACTGAAACTGCTCCTTTGGGCTCAGAATGAGCTGGACCAGAAGAAAGTAAAATATCCCAAAATGACGGACCTCAGTAAAGGTGTGATCGAGGAGCCCAAGTAGGTCAGCGGGCGGCCCCGCGCGGCCGGCCCAGGACCTCCGGAGCGTGCGGCGGCGCAGGAGACGGCTCTTCCCCCCCTTACGATTTTCGACTCGGCATCTTCTTTTAAAGGGAAAAGCGACCCTGTTAAGGGCTGGACAGCTCGCAGAGGAAGAAGCGTCTCTGGAAGCCTGACGGCCGACTGCACGGTGGCGTCCTGCAGGCGGCGGTGGTGGCGGTGGCGCCCAGCGCGTGTGGCCTCCTGCTCCTGAGGGATGTGTTGGCCACTGCGCGCCAGGCTGCTGGGGACACCAGTTAGCCTTCAGGCCTCCCACCCCGTCGAGAAGCACTGACCATAGCTTTGCTTTCTGTCCGCTCGCAGGCAGGCGACACAGCTTCCTGACCCTCTCCGCCGCCTCAGGCCATGGTGTAGAAGTTTCCCTCGCCTCCTCGGTGTCCCGTTTCTTTCGTTTTTCATAGGAAAGACTATAAATTTGTAAACCCTGACTCAAAGACTTGCCGTGTGTGAGGATATCGAGTGTGATTTCTTTTCCCTTTCTGTCTGGGCTGTGTGGCTTCTGGGGACGTGTGTGAGACGGGTGGGGCCGTGTTTTTTAATTTTTCAAATATATATTTTGGTGCTGTATGTGGTGAGAGATTCTTTCCTAGTGGATCCATGAATTTTCGCTTCTAGGTTTGCTGAAAATAAAGGTTTCTCTTTGATGTCGAGAACGAGCGAAGTGGCTTCTAGAAAGTCTCAGTCATCTGAACACACGTTTCGGGGGCTGTTCCCCGTGGTGACGGCAGCTGGGGGAGCACAGTGCCTGGTCCGTGTGCCTAGGAGGGCGTGCCGTGCTGACGGCAGCCGGCCTCGGCGTGCGGCCGGCCTCGGCCTGCATGTGCGCCTGTCCACGGCTTCGCTCCGCCGTGTCGGCCATGTCCGTAGCCTCCCCATCCTGTGCTCTCCTCTGTCCCTCGCGCCGGGCGTGAGACGTCGGCTTTGTGGACTACTGGGTGCTGACCCTGCGGGGGGCGTCTGGAGGAGGTGCTGACGGGGGGCCCCAGGGCTCGCTGGCGGTGCAGGGGTTCCCGCCCCAGCTCCCTGGGAGTGCTGACCCACTCCGCCCATCGTCGTCTCAGATGTGACCTTTCAGGGTCATGTCCTCTGAGGTCGGAGGTCACAAGTTGGAAAGAAAGGGACTTTTAGTGTTCAGGGAAATGACACCCACAGCGGAATCGGTGACAGGTACGAGGAGAGGTGGAGCCGGAAGTCGGTTTCTGGAAGAGCCGCAGGGAGTCCCCATCTCCCTGACCCGTGTCACAGTGCGTATGAGGCCGTTCACGGCGTGACTGGCACGTGATCAGTTCGACGCCGTCACGGGAGGGTCTGAGGTGTGTGCTTGTGGGGAGTCAGCTCAGGGGCTCCCCGCAGAGCCCTGGGACCCAATGGCCTTCGTCACGCGCCTGCCACGTCACGGAGCGGTTCTGAGGCCGAGCGTCACCCTTTGGCTTACCAACTCGGCAAGCGAGTCACTTCGGAGTGAGCCAGGTGCCGTCCTCGCCGCCCTCACTCCCCCGACCTGCGAGCGGGCTGCAGCCTCCGAAGACAGTGGCTTCGCAGTCTTTCCCCGTGAGCCCCCTTTTGGCAGTCTGCGTGTTCGGCAAACTAAGCCATTTGGGGGATGGCGCGAATCTTCTGCTTCACCTCACTTGGACCTCCGTCGTGTTTATTAAAATGTCACGTTACAGAGATTCTTTTTTTCACACTTTCTTGTAGAAAATGCCTGGCAGGAACACGGTGAGAGGGTGCTCTGGTCTGTCCCCGACGGCAGCTGTGTGAGGCTCAGCCGCGTGTGGAAACTCTAGCACAGGGCTTATTGCCGAGGAGGTGAGAACTAGGGTACCCGGCCCTTCAAATGGAGTTTTCCAGGTTCCAGAAAAGGTGCGCGGTTCTCGCACTGGTGTTAGAGATGAAGGTCCCCCCGCACGCGACACGCCCCGCGGGAGGCCTTGGGGACACAGAGGCGATCCTGGCCAGTCAGGACGCGTTGTAAGGACGTGTAGGGGAAACACGTTGAGGATGGTTTTTCTGAGGTGCCAGGACGTGTCTCAGTCCTGCGCACTGGAGGCTTTGGAGTGGCCGACCCAGAGGTGCCGGGGAGAATCGTGCCCTGCGTTACAGGCACGGAGCAGGTCCCCCGGCTGCGTTGCCGGGTCTCCGTGTGAAGGGAGCGGCAGGCGCAAGGCAGCGGTGGCCACAGTGGCCTGCACACCTCGCGTCAGACACAGGACGTCCGCGCCGGTCCTCGTCGGCCTGGACCAGGGTGGCTTCCGACGATGATGCTCTGCTACCACGTGTGCTGTTTCTTTACATGTCCAGAAACATGTCCTCTTTTGCTTTTGTGGATCGGTGGTAAGTCGTGTTGTCGGCATGGGTCTCGCAAACCCTGCAGCCGTCGCCTGCTGTCGGTGCTGCCGAGTGTCGTCGCACTTGGACCCTGTGGCTTCGTGCCGGTCCCGTGGGCGGGTGTCCCCCTCGGGGATTTGGAAAACGCAGAGGAGGTTGCCTTGGCTGCTGCTCCCTAATTTTGCAGTGAAGTGTTTCCGTTTCTCAGCGTGGTCCTCTGAAAGCTTTTCTGCCGTAAAGATGGTCCAGGGAGGACGAGAACGAAGCGCGTTGCTGCCGCCTTGTCGCCGAGTGTCGCGGAGTTAGAGCTGGACATGGGCAGGGCCGCCGAGTGTCGCCCCTTTACGCTTAGCTGTCGCTCCATCCCCGCTCGGAGCCGCTCCCAGCCTGCCTCGTCTGTGTGTGCCTGTGTCGCTTGAAACCTGTCGCTGGCCTTAGAGCTGGCGCTTCACTGCCGTGCGAGGGAAGAAAGCAGGGTGTCGGGCCGCACCCCGCGGGTTTGAGGCCGACTTGGCTGTCCTGCGTGACGGCCGGCATGGGAGGGCTTCAGTCGCGTGGGTCAGTGGGACGGCCACACCCACGCAGGCCCTGCTCCTGGTGCTCAGGCCTGTGTCCCTCGGGCCGCGGTTCCCGTGTTGTCACGGCCGGCAGCGTCTTCCAGGTGAGCGGTTGTTGGACACTGCCAGGGACGTGGAGTGACAGTGGCCGTGCCCTCTGGTGAAGTACAGAAGCGAGGGGCTTTGTGCCGCAGTGGGGCACTGTGGGATGTGGCCGTTGGGACGCGCAGGCCTCTTGGACGAGAATAGGATGGGAGAGCCTGCCACCCCCACGTGCCCGCACCGTCCTCGTGTTCTTCACGTGGCTCTCCCCGCCTTGCAGGAGGCGGCCGGCGGCTCCCGCTGACACGGCGCCCGCAGCAGTGGGAGCCCGGGTGCCCAGCACGTGGCCCCGCCTGTCTCAATGTCGTGCCTGAGCTCCGCGACGCCATTGAGGTCGTCCTCCTTGCGGTGAGGACGGGCCGTGGGCAGGACTGGCAGTGGCAGACCCTCCTGCGGCGGGCGGGCTATCTTGAGTTTTCCCCGTGCCCACCCCCGCCCGGTGGTCAGCAGGCCCCAGCCCCGGTGGCAGGTAGCGGGTGGCAGGTCCGCGGTGGGCGGGGTCTGGGTGTGCTGGCCCAGGGGGCTCTGCCTGCGGTGTCCGCGGCCCTGCAGTTGCATCTCTGTGAGACAGGTGCCGCACCGCAGTGCGTGTGACGCGCGAGCTGACCTCACCAGCACCCAAAGGACGAGCCGCTGCAGAGCCCGTCACCACGAAGCTCGTCCTTCTGGGTTCAAGTTCTGTTTCCCTGCCATTCGGGATCGGTTCTGCTCCGGGGGAGTCTCCCACCATTGGTTCACACAGGTCGTATCCAGAGCCAAGACTATTTCTCACTCTTACCCGTCAGCGGCGGGCGAGGTCATCTGTCAGTGCCACTTACCGACCCCCATCTTCAGGGGGAGGAATGGTGTGTGGTGGGCTGCAGAGCTGGCAGCGCTGACGGGGCGCCGGGGGGGGCCCAGGCCCTGGTCCACATGGTCTGCAGGGGCCGCGGTGGCCGGGCCGCGTGGTCTGCTGGGGCTGCGGTGGCTGGGGCCGCGTGGTCTGCCGGGGCTGTGGTGGCCGGGCCCGCGCAGTGGGGCTGGCTCTGCAGGCTGTGAGGGAGCGGAGGCAGCACAGCAGTGAGGTGGGGGCTGTGAAGAAACCTCTGTGGCATGTCACCGCACGAGAGACCCGGACGAGAGGAGCCAGCATCCCCGCTGGGACAGCTCCGCCACCGACATCGACCCCTCTCTCGAACAACAGGCGTTCAACTCACTGTGACTGTCCGCTGCCAGCCCCCGGTCATTTCGCCGTGAACGTCAAGGGCGGTTGGTGGGCTGGGTCGGAGGGAGCGCACAGAATCAGAGCCTGCAGAGCGTGCGTCTACCGCGGCTGCTGCCGACACCAGTGTTTGTAGGCTTCCTATGGAATGTGACACTTTCTAGCTGCAGTGGCTGCCATGAACCCTCCCCAACCTTCCTCCGAACCCTCCCCAACCTTCCTCCGCAGGACGTAGACCAGGAGGCCCTGCCAAGCCCAGCGTTGCTCCCTGAGCCCCCTCAGGCAGACCCCGCTCCATCCCTTGCCCACCCAGCCCATGTACTCGGCCTAGCCCTCCTGCCTGGCTACCCCGCCCCCCGCTCTGGCCTGGAGCATTGCAGTGGCTGTGTCCTCCCCGCCTCCATGCTGGTCACCCTGAGCTGTCCACGTAGCCAAGTGATCCGCGATGCTCCGATGGCTCCCACCCTCAGCCCCGCTGGCCTCCTGGACCCCGAGGCCTGTGGGGTCTGCACTGCCACCGCTGCTTTGACCTGTTCCTCTCCCCACAACCCCGCTGGGTCCCCTGCAGCCCCAGGGCCCCAGGGCATGCCCCGAGAACCTGAGTGGCTTGCCCTTGTCCCCATCTGCTTGCTTCCTCCTCCCCTGGAACAGACCCCATACACATCTTTGCAGGGGTACGGCCCCGCCCCGCCCAATGGCAGAAGCAGCACCCCCCGCACCCCGTGTCTGTGTTGTGTCTCTCCGCCCAGAACACCAGCTCTGGGAGGAAAGGGACTAGGTAATCAAGTGTCCACGACAAAGCGATCCTGGGTCTCCCTAAGGAACTTCAAAGAAGCTGGTGCGGCAGAGGGGAGCGAAGTATCAGGCAGAGGGTGGAAGGTCATGGGAAGCGAGTTTAGCGACAAGTCTCGAGCTTTGGTCGTGGTGTAGGGACGGTTAGGCTCTGTCCTAAGCGTGGGAAGAACCCCCTCGTGCTGGGAGCTGGCCCGGGCGCCAGGCTGCAGTGGGGAGGGATAGCGGTGGGCCGGGGTGTGCGCAGAGGCGGCAGCTGGAGAAAGCAGAGTGGCTGGGGACACAGTCGTCCTAGTGTCCCAGTGTCCCAGCCTTTCTGTGCTGGCCGTGTCTGTCACGAGGGTGGGACTATGTAGCAGGCTTCTCAGGCGAGGGCCTCCTGAAGCTCGGCAGGCAGCTTTGGGAGGAACTCCGGCCCCTCCAGCGAGCACCTGCTGCGTGAACACAGCTTCAGCCGCCCAGCGCTGGCCCCTGGTTCAGGGTCACAGACCAGAGCCCACCCCCAAAGATCTACTTGCAAAGCCAGTTGACCTTGAGTCTTTCTAGGCTCACACTTAATCCACCCCTGACTCCCGTTTGATGCTCACGGCCCTGTGGGGTGGGGACCACCAGCACCCTCATTGACAGCCGGCCCTGCAGACTTCCCTCCAGCAGTGTGTCCAAGGCCGGCGCGGGGTCAGGATCGCCACGGGCCCCGCCCCTCCGAATCCCCATTTTCCCCGTGCACCGCCGGCGAGCCCCCGCGCCATGCCGCCGGCCAGACGCTGCCAGGCATACTCCGGGGAGCCGCGGGAGGCTGGAGACCCAGCATCTGACCTCGGAGGTTTGCCGGCCTCCCCCGGGACGTCTGTGGGGCGGAGACCACGACGTGTGCTCCGCCTGCGGCCCGCCCGCTGCGGTGGCAGTCCGGGGGCGACACGTCCTGGGAGCGCCGGACGGAAGCGCTGCTGGGACTGACACGTGGATTTGGGCGGCGCTGCCCGCGTGGGCCTGCGGGGCGGGAGCCGGCCCCGTACTCACTGCGCCGCGGCCGTCCGTGCCTGATGCCGCCGCCGGAGCCGGCTCGCAGGGACTCGGCAGAGGACGCCCAGTGGTCCAGGTCGGTGGTGCGGCGCAAGGCGGGTGGGGAGGGAGCAGTGCGTCCTGCTCGGAGATATCCCGCTGCCCGGCCCCCTGCGCTCTGCCTGGGGTCAGCCCCTGCCCCGGGAGGAAGAAGCGCACAGGTACCCCAACCTCGGACTGCCTCCCTTCCATCCAGCCCCAGGGCCCCAGGCGTGCCCCCAGCCCTCCCCAGGGGCCCAGGAGTAATGCAGGCAGCGTGTGCAGGCCAAGCAGCGGCCTGGGAGGCCTTCCCCAGTGGGGGCCACCCACCTGGACAGGAAGAGGGATGGCTCCCGGGCACGGCCTCACGCCCTGGAACTGGCCCTGCCAGGAGCATCACACCTGTGACCACACCTGAGGGCCCTGAGGAACAGTCCAGGGTCACCTGGCAGGGCAGTCACGGGCCTGTGAGGGCAGCACATGCCGGAGTCTGTGGCCGGGTGGCTGACTCTTGCCATCATGTGTCGTGTGTGATGTGGATAAGGGCCCAGTGGGGGAGGAAAGGCCCAGGCAGGTTACCCACCCATTTCATATCTGTCTGCACTATCCACTGCCGCGGGCAGATAGCAACCAGGAACCAGGTGGGGTCCCCAGGGGAGCCCCCAGGCCACTGAGGCTCAGCCCTGGCTCTGGTTCTGTGGCCTGACGCCAAGCCAGCCGGATCCCAGGCCCAAAGTCAGGCCCTGCGATTCCAGGGCCAGCCTGCCCCCAGCTTTGAGTTCTCAGGGACTTCCCCCTACTTCCTGCAAGATGATGGAATCTTCCTGCGTTTGCCCCTCACCAGCACAGGGGGGCGGGAAGGCCCTAAGGGACAGTCCCCCAGTGTTGGGTCAAAACGAAGGCAGAACTAGTGGGGAAGATGGAGAGAGGCTGATGTTCAAAAGAAGCCAGAAGGGACAGGGCACTGCGAGCAGAGGGGGACGGGCTGGCCGAGGTGAGCGCTCGGAAGCCCCAGTGATGGCCCTATGTCCTGGGGTTAGCCGAGTGACAGTGACAGGGGTGTGCGCGACCAGAGACAGCCCCGGGGCCTGCCTCCGACTCCCTCCCCACGCTGCTGGCTACCTAGGGCCATAGAGCACTCTGCAAACTCTCCAAAACTCTCCTCTCGGGTGACTAATGACAGTTTGCTGAACTGGCTCTGCCTGGCTCTGCCTTAACTACTCCCCCGCTGCCGCCCCCCACGTGGTGTAGAAAGGTGCTGTGCTCGCGCCCAGGACTGTGGGGGCAGGGCCCCAGGAGCCCTGGAGGGGGCTGTGGGGTCCTGGGTGGAGTCGAGCTGTCACACCTGAATAGACAGTGACAGTGGCAGTAAGTACTGCAGGCTCGGCTGGCCCAGGGCATGGGCTGCCACTTGTGTGCTCACGGCGGCCCAGAAGGCCTGGCCACTCTCCAGCAGCATTGCAGGGGCAGGGGTGACCAGCAGCCTTGGACCCACACGTCCTCTCCAGCTTGCTGCCCTCCTAGCCTATGGCGTCCGCAGGGCGCTCCCTGGAGAGCTGTGTGGGGCAGGGTACTGGAGGCCCCACAGCACCGTCCCTGAGCTAAATCAAGAAGCCACGTGACCACATGTTTGCTCAGCCATGGATGCTTCTCATGCACCCCAGCCGTTTGCAGGAAGCAGAAGTTTCTAGGAGCTTCACAGGAAGCATCCTAGCTGTGGGCACAGGCCGCAGCTCAGGGCTGAGGTGAGCGGGGTGAAGCCCCTCCAGCCTTCCTAACCAGCCCTCCAGTGGAGGACCTGGGGCCAGTGTCCTAATCAGCTGACTGCAGCTGGGTCCCTCCTCCAGCCAAACTTCCTTGTTCTCTGTCCCCAGCAGCTGTGGAAGACACCCCTTTGCCCACCTCGCTGGCAGTGCTCGCTAGCTCAGGGACGGTGCTGTGGGGCCTCCAGTACCCTGCCCGACACAGCTCTCCAGGGAGCGCCCTGGCAGGGGCCTTAGGCTCAGAGCCGACCCACTGCCCGGAAGCTGACATGCCTTTCTGGGCCTCCTGTGGCCGTACGGAGGCCAGGGGCAGCACCGCATTCCCGTACCTGGCCAACCTTCCGGAGCCGCCAGTGTCTGCCATCTCTAATGGGACTTTCCACCCAGAGAGCAAACAGAAAGTGTCAGGGCCGCCCAGGTGCACCTGCGGGAGGAGTGGGTGTGCTGGGGGTGCGGTCCCGCAGGCGACCCTTCGGTGCTTTCTAAAGGCACAGCTGTTCGTGGGGGGTGGGAGCCTGGGGCCCGGGCCCTGTACTCTCCTCATGCAGCAGGCAGTGAGAACAGCACCGGGCACACGCGTGCATGCACAGGCTCTGCGCGGGGCGCAGGGAAACGCGGGGCCCCCGCGTGGGCGTCTGGGGGCCGCGGCAGTGCTGTGGAGCGGGCACGGCGGGCGCCCTGCTGGCCCCGTCCATCCGGGAGGGGTGCGGTTTGGCCAGCAGGGCCCTGCTTCCCTGCTAAGCCCACTGGGAGCATTTGCCCGGAGGAGTGATGTCCCCGATGTCCCCAACAGGCCCACAGCTCCTCAGATGGAAGTGGGCGCGGAGAGCGGGCTGTGCGGGGTGCTCGGCGGCAAGCTTTGTCAAGCCCCAGGGTTTGCCTGGGGGAGAAGTCGGGGCATCGCCTCCATGGTCCGCTGGAACCCCTGAGGAGCCCGCAGCAGCCTCAGTCCCTGGGGCCTGGGCCGCATGTCACGGATGCGGACGGGCTCTGAGCCCCACCCAGGGCTCGAGGAACCTGCAGATGCCTGGTCTGCCCCTGCCGCCTGGTCCTGTAAAGACCTGAGGGACACCTGGGGAGCCGCCCAGGGGCGCACCCCCTCCACCTTGGCCTCTCAAGCAGGGGAGGCCGAAGGTACCTGCTCTGTCTGCCACCACGCTGCTGCTCCCTTTGTCCCGGCTTCTGATTTTCCCGTAGTATCTTAAGAACCAGCAAGTGGGCTGGAGGCCTGATGGGAGGGTCCCTTCCCTCGCGGTCACTGAGGGGTCACTGGGCAGTTTCCAAGTGCAGCATCTTCACCAGCCTCAACGGAGGCAAGGCCAAGCGTCCGGTGCCTGGAATTATGGGAACTGTGGCTATTTTGGGCACAAGGCCCTTTTTTTCACTGGACATAGGAAGTTCCAATATGCAAAGCAGATAGCAGCAGAGGGTGCCCTGGGGCCCTACCCGTGGCACCCACTCTGAGCTTGAAATCCAAGGTCCATTGCAACCTTTGTGCTGCGCGCACGGGGAAACCGAGGCCCAGGGAAGGGACAGGGTCCAGACAGCACTCGAGCCTCTTCCTGGGAGCTGCTCAGTGAGACCACTGTCCAGCGAGAGCTGGGCACACTCGGCCACTGCTTCCCAGGCTCCGGACGGGCCCGGCCTGCCAGCACGGGTCTGTTTGGGGACAGTAGGCCGGCTGTTCAGAGCTCGGACTCATTCACCCCAAAAGCCTCGAGCGATGGTCTCGAACCTTGAGCTAGCTGTCTCTGCTGGCAGGTGCAGGACCTGCGGCCTCTGTGGGGGCAGCAGCGGAGGGGGCGTGAGCCCACGGCAGGCCTGGAATGCTGGGGCCGCGTCCTCCTGCCTTGGTCCCTGCTTTGTGGAAATTGCGCTGTGGTCTGCGAAGGGGACCCACGTGGACATGCGGCTGGAGGAACGAGGCGCTGCTGCCCTGCTCCATCCTGACCACTCATGGTGGCTCCCTGTCAGGGCCCGGGTCACACTGCTGTTTGCTGGCCTGTGCAGGAGGCAGACGTCACGGGGACGTCTTCATTGAAGACACAGGCTCAAGGAGGCCAGGCGACTTGGTCCCACGTCCCCCCAGACCTGTCCGCAGCACGGGCTAGCCGTGGCCACTGCAGTTGTCCGAGGGTGGCAGAGGGCCGTGGACGGAGGGCCGTGGATGGTGGGCACGGAGCCACGCCAGGCCGTGGAGACAGCTGCTGCCGCTGCTGGCCCTTCTCCTTGCGAGGCAGGCCCCGTTCCAGGCGGGTTCTGCCCTCGAGGTTCTGAGCACATCTGATCACAGCCGCTCATCAGGTTCCTGGCGTATGCGATGCCCGCCGGCTCCAGGCCGGTCGGCAGTGGCTTCGGGCACGATGCCACCCCCAGGGCCTCAAAGGTCCGTCCTCCCCAGGGACATGTCCAGGCCAGGGCTCCAGCCCTCCAGCGGCCCTCCCGGCCTCTCCCCAGACTGTCCGCCCCAGGTGCTCTTGCAGCCTGAGCCTAGAGAGCCACCCCACCCCCTGCTGCCGCCCACGCAAGCGGCGGCTCAGGCTCCACGCTCGCCCCCTCGTTTGTAAGAAGCACGCTTCGTCTTTGGGAACGGATCTGGGTTTACAGGGGTGCTGCAGGGGCAGCACAGTGTCTCCGTCCCCTCCAAACCCTGCCCCCCAGTCACATCGAGATGAGCGTGGTTGTGTTTGTCACCGGCAGTGAGCCGATCTTGACACAGGATTGCAAAACGGAGTCCACAGGGCATTCGGCTTTCTGCGCCTTCTCTCTGATGTCCCCAGCATCTCCCGGCTGTGGCACTTCCTGACTGCCCTCGGTTTCGGTGACCGATAGTCGAGGAGCGCTGGCCAGGGGTGCCATGGACAGTGTCTCTGTGGACACTTGTCTGGTGACCTTCCCAGCACCAGGGCTGCCTCGCCCCAGCTCAGGACCTTCCAGGGGGCCCCACAGCACTGTGTCCCTCGCTGGCCGCCCAGCTCTGCCCTCCTCTGGGCAGGCTCAGCTTTCCCAGGGGCCCTGCAGGGGCCGGCCATCCTGCTCCCACTGCGGGAGGGCCCTACCCCAGCCGAGGGGCCCTTCCCCTCCGCCTCAGCGGGGGTCCTCTTGCCCAGCCTGTGCCCCCTCAGCAGGGTCCTGGCTGTCGGCTCCCACTGGCTGCCATCCTGGGCCCTCTGGGTCCATGGCCATGGGGGTTTGTGTAACCCTCCCTGTAGCCAGCCACGCAGGCTGCTCCCAACCTCTGCTGTTAGGGCGACATCTCCAGAGTCTGCAGAGGGGCATTTAGACGTTCGAGAGGTGGCTACGTCCTGCTTTCGACGTGCACGGAGGGGGTCTCTGCCTCTCCCAGGCCTCACCCCCGCACCCCCCACCACCACAGGCCCGAGTGCCAGGCATGGACGGCGACGCTGCTGCTGGGCACGTGCCTGCTGTACTGCACCCGCGTCAGCATGCCCGTGTGCGCCGTCTCCATGAGCCAGGACTTCGGCTGGAACAAGAAGGAGGCCGGCATCGCTCTCAGCAGCTTCTTCTGGGGCTACTGCCTGACCCAGGTTGCGGGCGGCCACCTGGGGGACCGGTAACGCCCTGCTCCCGAGCCTGGCTGCTGCTACTCCCAGGGGAGGGGGCTCCAGGGCATTAACTTGGGGAGAGGCCCTGCCCGGGGGCGGGGGCTGGGCCCTGGGGGACTGGAGGCCCATGCGGGACTCAGCGCCCTGCTGAGGGCTCTGGGGCTGTGGGCACAGAGGGGCCACGCTGGGCCCTGCTGTCGCCTTGGCCCTGCTGCAGAGGGCTGCTCCAGGATGGATGGCACGGGCCCCTCTGCCTACGGCTGGTGGCTCAGCCCGGTCACTGCCCGGTCACCGTCTTCTTGTCGCCCCTTCAGGGTCGGGGGTGAGAAGATCATCCTGCTGTCAGCCACGGCCTGGGGCTTCATCACCGCGGCCACCCCGCTGCTCACGCACCTGGGCGGCGCCCACCTGGTCTTCATGACCTTCTCACGCATCCTCACGGGCTTGCTCCAAGGTAGGGCGCTGCAGCCGAGAGCGAGTGTGTGTGCGTGCACGTGTGTGCTGGCCCGTGCGTGTTCGTGCCGGGGGGCACTGAGCATGCGTGCGCTGGTGCAAGCTCCCCGTGTGGTGTGCCTCACACCGCCTTGTCGAGCAGGTGCGTCACCGCCTCAGCGCCGTGGCTGAGAAGGCCCCAGGACCCTCCAGCCTGGCCCGGGCAGCGCAGGGCGGTCCCCAGGGGCCGTCCCCGCTGACAGCTGCCTGCCTGGCGCCTTCCCCGGGCCGTCGGGCTGTATGGCCATGCCTTGGGGTCTGACCGCTTTCTGTTTCTAGAAACGCTTCACAGCCTGGCACGTTTGAACGTCAGGCGTCTCCCATGCCCTAAAGGCTCCTCTGGGGACCTGGGCGGCAGCCAGGTTGCCGTGTGCATCAGTGTCTCCAGGCTGACGGGCACGATGGGGACCCCAGGTTTCCCAAGACCTCTGGCTCCCACGCTCCGGGGCATTAAACTTCTGCAGGGCCCCCAGAGATGCCGGTGGTCCAGCCGAGCGGGTGGCAGGGGGTGCACAGCCCCCCTCTTCCCGAGGGAAAGGGTAGTCCCTGAGCTCCTGCCACACCAGCAGTGTCGACAGCACGGGGGCCGTCCAAGCGTGTGGGCTCTGGGCCCTTCCTCGCTGCGTCTCCCCACCTGCTTCAGACCAGGCCCTGCTGTCCCTCAGATCCTGGGGCGCAGCCCCCGAGACCCAGGTCCCCTGGGATTTACCTGTGCCTTCTTTCTGACCAGCCCCACCGGTCCGGGCCCTGCATGGTCTTGGTGGTCCGGAGCAGGTTCCTGGGCCCCTGGGAACCCACCACACGTGCCCCCCACGTGGCCCAGAGCTAGTGCTCTATCCTGTGGGCACAGGTCCCAGGGCTGGGCCGTAGGGCACCCATGTGGAGCCCTCGACTCGGGCTGTTTCTCTCTGTCCCCCTGGGGGTATGGGGAGTCCCCTGTGCGGCCGGGCTGTGGCCCATGCAGGAGACAGACCAGGGCTCAGGGCAGCTGTCGCCCTGGGTGACCGGCACTCAGCATGGATAGGGGAAGGCAGCCCCTGTTTCTCAGCCCACACCCAGAGCTTTTGGAAAATAACACGGTGTAACGGGCAGGAGCTGCCGTTTCGGTGCCGTTTTCTGAAATGAGATTTTGAAAGAATTATGGATTCACAGGAAGTAGCGGAGACACATACAGGAAGGTCCCACGCGCCCTCCCCCGCCTGCCCGTGGCGCTCTAGGACCCAGCAGTGAGGTTCTGCTGGGCCGTTCAGGTCTCACTGGTGCTCTGTGTGCTGTGTGTGTGAGCGTGTGACGGCAGGGGCTAGTGTGACAACATGTGCGTGTGTGACCACGTGTGCCAGTGCGGTCAGTGTGTGCGCGTGTCACGTGTGCATGCATGTGCGTGGCAGAGCCAGGTCTCTGCAGGTCCCTCGGGGTGAGGCTGGCACGAGGGGCACCCAGCCTGGCCCATTGTCAGCAGGCCCCGGAGAGCTCCCAGCCGGCTCTCGCCCTCTGCCAGCTGCCCTCGCCGGCCCCCGGAGCCCTGGGGACCCGGTGCCACGCGGGCCTCGGGCCTCGGCACTCTGTTCATTCCAGGGCTCTACTTCCCCGCGCTGACCAGCCTGCTGTCGCAGAAGGTCCGGGAGAGTGAGCGTGCCTTCACCTACAGCGCCGTGGGCTGCGGTTCCCAGTTCGGGTGAGCCCCCCGGGGGGCGGGCACGGGTGCGCTCCTGGCAGAGCTCCGGAGGTGGGCTGGGGAGGGCCACAGGCTGCGTGGGTGACACGGGCGGGCGGGCTCTGAGCGCCGGAGGCGGTGGCTGCCGCTTCCCATCTCTGCAAAGTGCTTCCCTTTGGGCCTTTCCTGTCCCCTGGTGCTGGCGGCAGGTGACGGGGGTTGGCGGGGGGCCATTCTGGTGGGGGAGGTGGCCTGCACTCAGTCTGGAGGAGACATGTCGTGTCATGTTCCTCCGTGAGCCACCCAGAGGTCCATGTGGAGGCCTCACTCGGGGCAAGGAAGTCTCGCATCTTGATAGGGCCTCATGCCCCCCCCAACCCCCGGCTCAGGCCCGTCCCTTCACCGCTCTGCGGTCCAGGCAAGAATTCAGCGGGTGGGGTGCCTGTGGGTGGGCCAGGAGCAGCCCAAATAAAAGCCCCAGGCACCCAGTGCCATGTGACTTCAGATCAGCAATGGGGGACATACTTGCACAAGGGAAGAGTCCTTGTTTTTCTGAAACGCCATTCGCCTGGGCCTCTGTGTGTGTGTGTTTGTGTGTATGTGTGTGTTTCTGTGTGTGTGTGCGTGTGTGTGTGTGCAGGGGGTGGAGAGAGGGACTGTGCCCACCTCACAGACGGAAAAAAGGAGGCTCGGAAGGAGGGCAGCCCCCACGGGCTTGCTGGCCTCAGTGCGGGCACCAGCTTGCCCCCCGTCTCTTTAAAGGTCTCCTGGCCGACCCTTGGCAGATGGGGGACACAGGGCAGGGCGAGCCGGGGATCAGTCCCTGAACAGACAGGAGACCACTGTGCAGGGAGGGGTGGGCCCCAGGGCCTTTTAGTGACAATGCCATCAGCAGGACGTGCTTTTTTGTGTTCAGAAACCTTAGAATTCCGTCCTCTCCGATAAGAGAAGCTGAAACAGCATGGAGGTTTGATGCCGACGTGTTCTCGAGAAAACTCTCTCGAGAACACGGCCTTTTTCAGTTTAACGAGATGCGCACCACAATCCTAGGCCCATGTGAAGCCCTGGAAGCAAGACGTTCGAGAAACGCAGGGTCCCGTGCCGCGTCACGCTGCGTGGCGTCCGGAAGTCTGCCGTCCCATGGGGCCACCCGGGTTCCTGGGGACTCGGCAGGCACTGGCTCAGAATCTCCTTGGGTGGAACCGAGGGTCATCGTCATGCTCCCTCTGCTTTCCAGGACGCTGATGACGGGGGCCGTGGGCTCCCTGCTCCTGGACTGGTACGGCTGGCAAAGCGTCTTCTACGTGTCCGGTGGCCTCACCCTGCTGTGGGTGTGTTACGTGTACAGGTACCTGCTGAGTGAACAAGGTAACCGCGGCCGGGTGGGCGAGTGCCGTGAACGCAGCTACCAGGAGGCCCAGGGCCCGGCCCCCGGGCCCCG